TACAAATGAAAAATGAAAAATAAGAAAGACAAGAATAGTAAATATTCGGTAAGTGAGGAAATCGCCATGAAGTTCACAAAAGTCACAATTTCCTATCATGTTAGTATCTCCTGTTAACATTTTTTCGATACTCACGAATCTATTTGTATAATAGCCTCCATTTTAGCAATCCTCTCTACCCGTATGTACTCAGTCAATCCCATATATTTCATCGGTCTTAACTTCTAAAGTACCAGTAGTAGGCCTACCTAAAAGGAGTCTGTCGCTTCGGAGGAATCTTTATTGCAAGTAGGCCTATTCTAGGAACGGTTTCTCGCCTCCGAAGGAACTCTTGTGCATTACACTCCTGATTTAGATTTCCATTTTCCAATCACTAGAGAAGTCGTGACGAGACTCGTAAAACGTTCGAGGTGTGATGACATTCCGAGGATGTTATTTACATCTAGTGTACATGAATACGTAAAATTTGTGTCTCTCTATCTATATGTCTGTCTGTCTACTCTACTCTACTCTATTTCTATTTCTATTTCTATCTCTATCTCTATCTCTATCTATCTATCTATCTATATATCTCTGTATCCTCTCTCTCTCTCTCTCTCTCCTCTCTCCTCTCCCTCTCCCTCTCCTCTCCCTCTCCTCTCTCTCTCCCTCTCTCCTCTCTCCTCTCTCTCTCTCTCTCTCTCTCTCTCTCTCTCTCTCTCTCTCTCTCTCTCTCTCTCTCTCTCTCTCTCTCTCTCTCTCTCTCTCTCTCTCTCTCTCTCTCTCTCTCTCTCTCTCTCTCTCTCTCTCTCTCTCTCTCTCTCTCTCTCCACGTGCAAATGAATACATACAATCTTTATTTTTTCTTTTTTTCGGGAAATGTGTATTACAAACAGAACTCTGGCGTGTAAGATGAATGATATCTCTTTCAGAATGAAAAGATTCTCACACCATTCACGTTGAATTCTGAATACATAAATGGGTTATTTCGTAAAGCGTATTCCATTTCTTCAATAAGAACGGAAAGTGAAAAATTCGTTGATAAGTGAGATGAAACTCCGGAAAATATCGTCGTATCGTTATTGCGAAAATATATACAGTATTTATAAAAAAAGAATGATTACTTTTACTCGATATCCTGGCACCACCAGTATTTTATTGCTATTGCTCTTACATGCATAAACCATTTTAAATTTCGATGTCTGTCGATATGTGAAGGGCGAATTTGATGAAAATCTCCATCAAATTCGATTGGACCGAGCTGATAAATTGTCGTTTATTACCAACTAGACGACCCGATGGCAATATCTTTCAACAAGGATTCTTTTTTAATATCGCATCTTATAAACATTGAATCTGATACATTTTCTGTTCCTAGTATTGTGGATATAAACTAATTTTTCATTCGATACATCATATACAGAGTCAGTTGAAAAGCAGTGAAATAAAACCCTATTTTCATTAATGATCATAATAATATCTTAAAGCGATTTATAGTGTCTTTATCCCGAGTCAGGCAGTACTGTGCAATTTCTCTTCTGCAATTTCTCTTCTGCAATTTCTCTTCTAAAAGGGCCTCCACTCGTATTTCAAACCAGGGTAAAATTCCATGCGAAACGAAATACATTATAACAAAGGCATTTTACCGGCGAGCATCGGGTAACATTAGAACAATCAGGTTAGTAGAAAAAGTATTCGGTTCAGGCAGAGGAGAAGAGGAAAAGGCTCTTCCGTGAATTTAATCAGCGTTGATTTTAAACAGGGTTAATCTCCCTATCCTTTGCAACGCTGGGAATGCCTTTGTCTCGTCCGTTATAAACTCTCGTATGGCTGGTAAAGCGTTCGAATTCCACGTAACCTACCTTATGGAATTCCAGCCTGAAATGGGCATTCAAATCCCGCTACCTATCCTTTTTATTCATTCATTTATTCATTTATTCATTTACATCTACTCGCTACATATCCTTTTGTGTTTATTCATTTATTCATGT